TCGCGATAAGTCACGCACTTTTAAGTCACGCACTCGCGATAAGTCACGCACTTTTTCATCCAGGACACCCATCTCAAGAATTTTTTATTTTTCGGGATTTTGTGGATTTCGTGGATTTCGTGAATATTTGCGAATGATGTGGTTTTCAATGATGGAGCTTGAATACTGTAAAGGTAAGAATATAATTATTATCTGCATATTGTATGATGTATGCAAACACAGTGTTGCTCAACAAACACAATCATTCTGCAGTCGGGAAGAACACATGAATGGATGGCTGAACCAGTGTCGTGCTGGCAGCTCGGTCATTTCGGATCAGGTAATCCAGCCGTCGTGCTGCAAGACTCAGTTCCGAGTTGTTGCGAGTGGTGCAGAAATTGAGCAACAACAGCATTGCTGCATCGACATCAGAATCTCTAGCTGCTGGTGCTGCTGCCGCTTCCTCTGCAGCCATTGCTGAAGACTCTGCATCATCATCCAACTGACCATCTGACTCCTCATCTGCAGTTGTAGCTGTCTCCAGATGCTCGATCAATTCGTCAACTTCTACGTCTCTCACAAGCGGGTCATCTTCAATGGCTACCCATGTCTTGGATGCCTCCAGACATTGCGATTCAGAGATGGCACCGAGCTCCACAATGTCCTCAACACCAGGACCGGCTTGGGTGCTCTTCGACACAGCTTCACATAAGCTCTGCATAGCGGTGCAAAGATCAGTGAGCGACTCTTGATCAAGCGGTTGCATGGCTGTGCGACCATCACGCTCCTCCAGTGACTCCTGGGCATCAGCTGGCAAGCAGTTTGCTTTTCGCCAACACCGCAGGATGCTGAGTGGCCGAGCATACTTCTCTCCATCCCATATGTCCTTCATTATTGTGATGGCATCGAGAACATGAGGCTTGTGGCCATGTGCAACTCCCTTGCACCCACGCCGCTGATTCTTGCCCGCCTCCAGTGCTGCTTTAGCTGTGCTGTCATTGTCGAAGATATTCAACAGGCGTCGCAGGAGATCAGTCTTGTATCCGACCTTGAGGCAATGGATGATCCCTTGGTCCATCGGCTGAAAGCGGGAGGTCAGGTTGGGAGGCAGGAATGTGATGATGACGGATTTAGGTGAAAGCTTGCCCACACCTTCATGAGCTGGACAGTTGTCCAAGATGAGAATGCAAGGAAGCTCACCATAACGCTGCTTGTACCAAGCACAAAACACATCCTGCAGCCACCACTTGGTCACTGTCTTGTCAAACCAAGCGTTGGCTTGATTAGTGTAGGCCATGGGTGGGTTGTTCCCACAGAGATCCCAACACTGTGGACGCTTGGACTTTCCAACAACAGCAAGTGGAACTTTCTCCCCAACAGCAGAGGTGCACACCATGAGAGTGATTCTCTCCTTGGCCTTCATCTGTTTGACTCCACGAATGGTCCTCTTCTCCTCCTGCTGGCAATAGATACGGTTCGGTAGCTTCTGGTGGAACAGCCCTGTTTGATCAGCGTTGAAGACCCGTTCTAGAGGGATGTTCCGCTCGCTCATAGTTTTCTTTATGCCTTCCCGAAACGAAGACATGGCAGCAGATGCAACGTCTTCGTCCATCTCCATTCCTTCTCCATGAAGATTGACGCCGGTAAGGCCATTCCGCCGAAGCACATTGAGGCACCATCCAGGACTAGCGGTGAAGGAGTCGGCATCGTCGCCAAGCTCTTGCTTAGCGAAGTCGAGAGCCTTCTCCCTCAGGATCACCCACGACAATCCAAGTTTGTCAGTCACAAACTTCTCCCTTCGAAGCAAAATATATTTCACTAGCCGCTCCTCAATTTTCCCGAACTGGGAACTTCTGTTGCGGACTCCCTGTGGACCAGACGGATTAGCATCGGCGAGTTTGCCAGCTTCAGCATCCCTCAGCCAGCCGCGGAACGTCGCCTCCGGAACATTGTTAAACTTCGCAAATTTTCGAGCGGACGTTTTTCCACTCTCACGATAGAGACGAACCAAACGCAGTCGATCAGCCACTGTTCGCTGTTCTTTCGTTTTCTTATGAGAAGGCATCGTCAAGCAAAGGGAAACGAAATGTTGCACGACGGAAACAGAAGTGCGTCTTGTCAAAATCTCTACCAAAACTAACGGAACGTCGTCTTGTCTTTCTCGATCATGGCTTCACGCTGTGGTAGATCTCTACGTCTCGTGTACAGTGTACAGTGTACAGTGTAGACTACAGTGTACTGTAGACTACAGTGTACAGTGTAGACTACAGTGTACAGTGTAGACTACAGTGTACTGTAGACTACAGTGTACAGTGTAGACTACAGTGTACAGTGTAGACTACAGTGTACTGTAGACTACAGTGTACAGTGTAGACTACAGTACACTGTAGACTACAGTGTACTGTAGACTACAGTGTACAGTGTAGACTACAGTGTACAGTGTAGTCTACAGTGTACTGTAGACTACAGTGTACAGTGTACTAGTGAGTAGTGTACAGTGTAGACTAGTAGTAGTACAGTGTACCGTGCGCATGCAGCTCAGTGCTTGTACGCGTGTTCAGCACACATGTCCATATGCAGAAGAAAAAATGACGGCCGTACATATGCATGACGTGGTGCATAATGTAAGTCGCGCACTCGCGGTAAGTCGCGCATTTTCTGTTCCAGGACACTGTGCGTGACTTATCGCGAGTAGACTGTATCGGAAGAGTGTATGCAAAACCGGTCAAAATGGGAAAAAGGACAAAAAGAGAAATTCAATCGCAGTGAACAGGATTCGAACCTGTGCGGGCAGAGCCCAATTGATTTCGAGTCAATCGCCTTAACCACTCGGCCACCACTGCTTGCTTGTTTTACAACAAGCACCTCAACGGAATATGGGAAGAGTGTATGCAAAACCGGTCAAAATGGGAAAAAGGACAAAAAGAGAAATTCAATCGCAGTGAACAGGATTCGAACCTGTGCGGGCAGAGCCCAATTGATTTCTAGTCAATCGCCTTAACCACTCGGCCACCACTGCTTGCTTGTTTTACAACAAGCACCTCAACTATGGGAAGAGTGTATGCAAAATCGGTCAAAATGGGAAAAAGGACAAAAAGGACAAAAAGAGAACTTCAACCGCAGTGAACAGGATTCGAACCTGTGCGGGCAGAGCCCAATTGATTTCGAGTCAATCGCCTTAACCACTCGGCCACCACTGCCTGGATGTATTTGTGTAGCCCATATAGGGGTCAAGAAGGATGGAGACCTCCCCCTTTCCTGTTGCACTACCGTACAATCCGCTACAAATCATGCCCACCCCATTTTTGCAGATCTGCTGGCCTCTATGCACTGGCCCCATGCACTGTCACCGCTATCGTACGAAAGAGCATCTCACATACCGTAGCGCGAAGAGCGCTTTGCCACGGTAGACTATGTCCACTTTGCTGGTTTCAAAATCTCTTTGGGCACTAGCTACGAGGTAGCTCGTAGTGATGATGATGTTGGCTCTTTTATTTCGCAAATCCAACGGGAGTGTCTTCCGAATAACAAGGTAGCGATGAACATAACATTGCAGGAACTAAATACACTTCTGACGGTGTTTTAACCCTTTGTGGACGGACTGTACGAGTTTCGATCTAATAAGATCGAAACTTCGTAACTTCGTAACTCCATCGTTTCTTGAGCAAATTCCACAATCGAAGGGTCTACGTGGTAGCGGGAACTCCAAGCTGTCCAATGCAACAATCGCCGAAGAGTTACAATGTCGGACGCCAGAGATATCGCACGCCGTATTCTTACCTCGGCAAATTCAAATTTTTGATCGATCATTTCGCCATTTTGGGGGAAAATCCCTTTTCGTGTGCTCTTTGAGCGACTGAGCACATGATAATGACGTAGCCGGCTGAAGTTTGAATCGTCTCAAACAGATTTGAGCGTTCTGCGATGAAGGAGAGTGGAATGGCGTTGATGGGACGAATTTGCTTGCATATCAGGCTTGGAGACGACTTTGCTGTGTTACCGCGCCTGATTTGTGGCGGCCGGATAATGGAGATTGGTACCCTGACGTAGCTCTCGCCAAGAGCTTTCCAATGAGCCCTTGATTGTGAAAATCAAGTGAAGGACACCAAAGTTATGACATGGAAAAGTTGAAAATTGTACTGACATTTTGTAATTCTGGTGCATACTGTGCTAGTAATCCGTCCATAAAGGGTTAAGCCATCATTTCCAAATCGTGCCAGGCAAGGGTTTTGTAGCGCACTTCAGTGTTTTCAACAAGTTAGCAGCGACTTTGTAGCTGTAGCTTCTGTGACATCCTCCCTGTTCTCCGTGCCACTGCAATACTGCAACAGGTCAGGTCGTTGAGTGATGCTTCGTCAGAACAATTCTATAATTTCAGTGAATCCGGCTGCATTTATCGTGGCACTGCAGAAATTTCATGATTTGAAAACCAGATAGATTTGACGGCTTTACCACATGGAGAATGAACTGATACGAAGATGACTCATTTATAGATTGGAAGGAAATCTCGACAGAGGTTTTTCTTTGATGCAAGATAATGACAATCGCTTTTGCAGAGCCTCCTGATGAGACATGGGCAGTTTGTAGGCATTACAGTCGTTCCCGTGCGCATTCGACCTTCATGCCAGTTTTCTACAACTTTATTAGCCTGAAAAAGACGAATATAGTATGGACCCGCTGGGGTGGGCGTTTGTAGCGGACTTTACCGTATTACTATCCGGTTCTTGCTTTTCTTTCTTTTACTGTAAAAATAAAAAGAGTCCGCACGCGAAATAGTTGAGCTGAGATCAACTTTTTCGTGATGCGACGCGTTTTCCCGTACGCGAAATGAAGTATGACTCGGCCTTTACAGTACTTTCGCTATCACACCTAGGAAGCAGACAGTGACACGACTGTAGTGTAGTGTAGTGTAGTGTAGTGCAGTGTAGTGCAGTGTAGTGCAGTGCACTACACTGCACTACACTGCACTGCACTGCACTGCACTACACTGCAGTGCAGTGTAGTGTAGTAATAGTACTCACCCTGGGGTACTTGTGGCCAAGTAGTATTGTCAACTGCCGTAAGCAGGGTAGCCGCAAGCCGGGAAATGGCAGCAGCCCGCAAAACCTGCACACGAGCGTATATACACAGACACACGCACGTGCACACGCACGTGCACACGCACGCATGCACACGCACGCACACGCACGCATGCATGCACACACGCACACACACACACACACACACACACACACACACACACACGCGCGCGCGCGCGCGGGCATGTACGCACGCGCGCATACACACACACACACACCGGCACACACACACACACACACACACACACACACACACACACACACACACACACACACACACAAGCATAAAACATGAATTTAATTGTGAGTTGTTGTTTATACATTTAGGTGTAGGCTGATGCATATATACAGCTGTTTCGCCAAGTGGGTCTTTAGTAAACTCTTTAGTACACGATATTATACGATATGATACAATTCTGATTTTCATCTTATCATACGACAAAACCGGACTCAAAGCAGATTGTTCAAATCAAAGCAGAATGCAATTTCAAATTTGGACTTCACGGAGAATTTCAAAGTCTCCAAAACAGAATGCGCAAATCCAAGCAGAATGCGCAGATCACATTGAGCATGCCTGTAGTATCCTCCACAAACGAATCACAGTCATTCGTCACTCACACTGGAACGGAGTCTATGAGCTTCTTCGCATCTCCACTGCGCGCTGTCTCCGCCTTGCACAGGGCTAGGAGATCAGTGGGAAACTTGGCACTGGAGTCGAAGCAAACGGCAAAAGCACAATCAAATGCAAGAGCCACAAAAAACATGCACAGCGGAAACAAGGAAAATGGTGAAATGGTGAAATGGTGGGTCACAAGTTATGCGTTAGAGTCCACCAACTAAACCCTTCATCATTCTGTGAGAACCTGTCCTATGGGCAGGTGAGAAGGCAGGTGAAGTAAAATAAACAACAACAACTAAACCAGGTTTTGAACAGTCATAGCGTGCACAAGGTAGCACCAGACTGACAAAGAGTACTGATACATGTACAGTGCTTGCCATTGAACCTTGCCTGTACATGTACAAACAAAACAAAACTCTACACTGTACGCTGGGCTTGCGTAACACTGAACTCAAACCTAGTGTTAATTTAAACATGCCTGTGTGTAGGGTGGGGGCAAGGCAAGAGTAAGGAAAGGCTAGAGAGGAAGGGAAATAAATAAAAAAGAAATCCACGGTTCACGCGTCAGACTCGGCTAAAGACCAAGCTTTCCGCATCTGTAGGAACGCCACCACTGTCAAGGATCCACGAGAGTAAGGAAAGGGTAGACAGTCAGGCAAGAGCAAGAGTAAGAGTAAAGAAAAGGCAAGAAGAGAATGGCAATCAGGAATACTTACTCCTTACGACTGGTGAGCTGCTCAAAGCAGCCGCTGGACAACAGGACATCGAGGGCTTTCAACAGCGGGACCGTAACACTGCACACACGCAAACGCAATGCACAGATACACACTCATACTCATACTCCTGCCCATCGTTGAAGCGATGATAGCGAACAAGCTATGTTAGACATAGCAACTTGTGCTGGGATTACACAATTCAACAGCTTGCAAGGCTGATGAGTTGATTGCCACAAATGTTAGCCAGGTATCCACCACACAGCTGATTGAAGTGGCTTTTCTTCTGGCCAGTGAATAGTTTTTTTTTTACAGATATATATATATATATACACACCAGGCCAACGACGAAAACCATGACTGATTGTGCACACAGGAACACAGGCAGAAAGGGAATATCTACAATTCTACATGTTCACTACAGAAATGATTCACAACACTAGCTGGGCCCAACGAGCACAAGCTGTTGGTTTTTATTCTCTTCATTCATCCTTTTCAAACACATGGATATGCAGCAGGCCAGCCTTACCGATCCACTTTCTGGTATTTCTTGAAAATAGACAGAATATCACTGCAGATCACAGCCAAGTTCTCGTCACTGTAGCCATGAATACACATGAGCGCATACACATACACACATAATTATGTACAATCACACAGCCACAGACAGCACGCATGCATGAGCTCACACTTACAAACATGCATGCACGCACGCACACACACGCATGCACACACGCACGCACGCATGCACACACACACACACACATACACAAAAAACGACGCAAGCGAATCTGTTAGAACAAAGAGCACACGGACAGGAATGAAACTGGAAAACGTAACAACATTGGCCAACACTGCAAGCGCTCAGACAGGACGGAGCAAAAGCAGCAGCAGCAGCAGCAGCAGCTGCAGCAGCAAAGCAACCTCGGCCAGCTTGGCCAACCAAAAAAAAGAGGACGATATTCACACCGCACCTGGCAGTAAATTTCTCCAAAAACTCCACCAGGGCACCACTGGCATGCTTGACCTACACACAAACAGAGGAAACAAAATGGACACACACATACACACACACACACACACACACGCACGCACACACGCATGAGCGGATGCATGCACACGCGCACATATATTATCATTATGGGGTTCTTGCGAAAGTGACGGGGCAGGGCAAGAAGAGACAGATTACGTGCTAAAACAGACCGGGCACCACCAAGCTAGTCGGCCATGGCAGAGCCTTATCCGCTGGATCCTATCTCTATCACTGGGATGTTCATTTCAGTACGAACAAACACCAACTGGAATAATTATGATGTTTGCCTGCGAGAAAGAGGAATGATTTTTCAGGAGTGCAAGAAATACCCGGGAGATGCAGCACACACAGCCCTTTGAGAACAGCATTGACAGGGGCGTCGAACGGTGTTCAACATTAGTACGACCATGAAAGGGCGGGGGGGGGGGGGGGGGAGGGGGGTCTGAATTTTTTGGGCAAATTGGGCCAAATAGCCCATAGTTCCTTGCTTAAAAATCACAGGATACAATTATTGGTGCGGCTTTGGCAGCACCTGTCGTACCGGTTCCAACGCCCCTGATGGAGACGTGAAGTCTACAACTCTCTCAATATATGAGCCAGCGCGCGCGCGCGCGCGCGAAAAGGGTGCTTAGCTCACTGCACACTGAACTGAGAAAAACGCGTTTGAAGTTGCACTTCAAATTTTCACGATTTCGATCAACTTACGCAGATTTCAAGCGGGCTTACACTAGTAAGCTGGCGATTCCGTGTGATTTCGTTTAGCTTCCGCCATAGCCATCACACTCAGCTGTCATGTACTTTTCACAGATCAAAAATCGGCCCATGCATTTTCACGGATGGGTGCATGCACTCGATCAGCGCTTTTTCATCGCGCTTTGAAAGTTTGAGTTTGATTCTCCTTCGATGCGCTTCAAGCCTTGTCTTCAACATGGCCAGTCGTCGTTGGTTCACGGTGGATGAGACACTAGCTGCTGTACTTGCTGGCGACGATGATGAATTTACTGGCGCTGCTGCTGATGTCGGCAGCAGCGGCTATGATCACGATTCGCCAGGTGGCAACGAAGAACTTTGCGATGCTGATGAGGAAGAGGATGATGGCGAGAATTTGGAGCACTTCCTGGACATAGCTGACAACTCGACAGCTTTAGCTGCTGATTTTCTGGACCTGAACCTGGATGCTGAAGAAGCTGTTGTTGAAGAGGAGCAGCAAGGAGATGCTCAGCCTCAAGCCGCTGCTGCAGCTGCTGTAAAAGATTGTTGCAAACAGAATTGTTTGGAGAAATTTAGCGCTGCTGATATTCAAGCGTCCATTCTTTCGATGCAAGAGCTTGAGAAGCCTGAGAGCGATATTTTCATTCTTGGGCTTTTGTCGTCCTCTGCGCAGCACACTGCCACACTGACCAGCCTGGGAAGAGGAAAAGACAAACATTTCTGTACTCGTTTCAAGGTCTGCCGGTGTGCGGCACCGCGTTCCGTCATGTATTCAACATCGACACAAAGCGCATGGACAACTTGCACAAGCACTTTGAGGAGCATGGTATTGAGCCCAGGACACATGGCAATACTCATCGCCATCCTCACAATGCCCTCCATTTCGCCGATGTAAAACAATGTGTGGAATTTATATCAGCGTTCGCTCAGGACTTCGGTATACCACATCCAGCGCCGTTACGTGGTCGTGCTGATACACCGCCAGTGTTTCTCCCTGCACATTTGACGTACAAAGCCGTTCACGCCAAGTATCTGGCAATGTGTGAATCCGGAGGGTATAAGACCATCTCGGAGTCCAGCATGCGTGCAATTTGGCACCAGTGTCTGCCTAGCATAAAGTTAATGACACCGAGAACCGATGTGTGTTCAACCTGTGAAGCTCTACGCCGAAAAGTGACAACGGCTTTCGGTGAGATTGAGAAGCTTCAGGCTTCCAAGGATTTGGCAGACCATGTGAACACTGCGCAGAGGGACAGAGAGCACTACAAGCAGGCCACACTGGATGCCAAAGCTGAGCTAGATTCTGGAGTGGCAATCAAAAGGAAGGTTCATTATATGTTTGATTTTGCGCAAACGTGTTCCTAACCAATATAGCACGGCAGGAAGGTCCTCTCTACTTCAAAACCCCTCGGAAAGTGCAGCTCTTTGGTGTATGTTGTGAGGCCCAACCACGACAGATTAACTACCTGCTAGATGAAACAGACACAATTGGCTGTGATGGTAAACGTTCACACAATCCGAACCCCCTAAATTTTGCAAAGTGTGCTGGTGAGAAAATCGAAAAATAATCATGTGCGCACAAAAGCCAAAGGGCGTCCATCCGATCACAGCCAGTGCAGTCACTGAGTCAAGACTCAAGTAGTACAGACGTCGACAGTGCACTGCATGCGCGTGCGGTAGATCGATACTGTTCGTAGTTTGTACACGTACCCATGGCTTGCATATTCGATCTTTACAAGAAGTTGAAAGGGTCTTCATGCCCTCACTGAACCTGTGTGCCAGTCGATTGCATACATGTATGTGATTATGTGTCCGTACTAAATAATATTATACAATGTAGGGTAAGCAGCAGCATTATTTTGGCCCTGTATACAGGTTTTCCATCGTCTACCACACCACAACTGCGCTCCGACTCAGTCTCCAGCGATGGTGGTGTGCTGTGGCAACGTGTCGAGGCCGGCTGGAAAGCACAGTTGTGGTGTGGTCGATGATGGAAAAATATATGTCCGTAGTGTATTTTAAAAGCATGCGATTGCCACTAACACAATCGGATTGTCGTAATTACAAGTGTCAACCGCACAACTACTTCAAAACAATCTGATTCCATAATATTTTGGCTGTTCAATTTTGGTTCGACCGGAACCCCCCTGTATAGATCTCTGGATCCGCCCCTGGGTCAGCTGTGTGATGTTGTCACCAGCAGCATTTGTAACGCTGCTCAAACCATTCCAGGATCTGGCCTAGTATTGTACGAGTGGGACACATTCTTTGAGGGCTCATTCCGACCAATCCCGCAAGTAAGCAAGCAGCATCATTTCCTGTTCTCGTGTGAAACGTCTGGCATCGTCAATGTAAAGAAGTTGGTGGATGGTAACTCTACTCCTGTTGCCATCCTCAAGACCATAGCTGAACAAGTGCAAGCTGCTGGCTTTCCGAATGTTCTACCCCTGGATGGCATGTCCCGAGAGCGCCAAACCTACCTGTACAAGGAAACCCGCCCATATGTAGCTGATCAGTGGCAGGATGAAGTTTGCCCAGCACCACCACCACTGTGAACTTAGATTTTCTCTCTCAATTAATCAGATTTGCTCTCTGAAATTTCATCTCCCCTTTTCTCTTTATACTACATGTAATTTTCTGACTGTGTACCACCACTGCCACCACTGCCACCACTGCCACCACTGCCACCACTGCCACCACTGCCACCACTGCCACCACTGCCTCCACTGCCACCACTGCCTCCACTGCCACCACTGCCACCACTGCCTCCACTGCCACCACTGCCACCACTGCCTCCACTGCCACCACTGCCACCACTGCCACCACTGCCACCACTCAGTGACTGCATGTGTATCATGCATTGCTGGATTTGCCTTTTGCGGCACATTGATATTCTGGCCGGGACTAGCCAGTCCTCACTAATAATGTCGTAAACACCACAAATTGTGTGAAGTGTTGGTCTAGAGATGTTTCTTACCTGATACTTACATGGCTCTTTGGTGCTAGATGGCAAACCATGACAAAATACTGTCCAGAATGATTCTCCGTTACATCTGTTGCCACTAGCGTGGCAGGCGTGCTTTTGTGTTTGCGACCCTTTTCGCGAGCTCTGGCTCATATATTATATATTTGGATGGGTAGATCTCCCGACACAAGCACACACAAAAAGTCATCATTTCATTTATCCGTGACTGACCGGTTTCATCTTTTACCAAGAATCATCAAGCTCTTACCAGCGACTCTGTCATGCCTCCCACGCTAACAATGAGACCAGTCAGTACAGACTGACGATACGGCGCCACTGATAGCAGCTGTACCGTGTGAGGGAAGGCGTCGCTTGCAGACGCCCAGTTCAGCTCCGAGCACAGCGTCCTGCACACACACGTGTGGGTGATGACAGGCAAGTACACGACACATATTAACACACAACGTTAAGGTAACTGGGAAGCGACATGGCGTGGGGGGGGGGGGGGGGGGATCAACGGTACTTTACGGTATTTGCATATTCGTTTCATTTTGAAAAGTTGGTAACCCTGCAAATAAACTGTGCTGGTACCCAGGCCCGCTAGGGTCACGTCCGTCTTCCAGTGCAACCCGGCAAGACTGCAGTCCGCAAGGCAACACGGTACCCGCCACCACTGCGTGACACCAAGAAGGTCGGCGACCTTCGGACACGGAAAGTGTCCTGCAAGCTGAACCAGCTGATGACCGGCCACTGTAGTCTTCTGAATGGCTACCTCCACCGCATTGGAGCTGCAGACTCGCCTCACTGTGTCTTCTGCCCTGGCATCATCGAGGATGCAACACACTTCCTTTTCGACTGCCCAGGAAGAGCACAAAGCCGTCACTCTGCAGCTCTTCAGTCTTCATCCGCCAGTCAAGCTGTAGCCGACTCCCCTACAATATTCCACGATTCTTGCAGTTGGAGAAACTGTTATGAAGTTTCGAACACAGACTTGAAACACAATACATGATGAATTGCTACTGTTATGTGAACTCTCATTACACCGGTATGCGGTATTACCTTCCACATAGTCATGCAGCGACCTCGCTACATGACGTCAGCTCCCTCACCAGATATATACGCATGCGCATGAAACATTTCTTCCTCTTTGTTCTAAATAAACATCAACCATAGACAAAGTTGCCCTCTCCCTCGGAGTTGTATTTATTAGGCCCCAGGGTGGTATGTCCCGGGATTCATCTGTCTCCCCTGTGAACAGATACGACCTCTGCCATCTTGGGTGCCTAAATTGGTGACCCTGACGCTGCGCACGCGGAGTATTTGTAGATTTGACCTTATCGGATTTAGGGATTCGTGGTGCGTCTCGCCGCCCACTCGCCCTCGGCACACCTGGAGCTGCTGCGGACTACGCCCTCCTGCCGCCGCCATCCTTCGTCATGCTGTTTCCGCCCGTCAGCCTGCCAGCCATCACTGGTTTTCGCCGCAGTCCGTTACTGCGTGCACCATATTCTGGCTGCCCGTCAATCACCGGCTGTCGACGTAATACTTGAGCCAAACCACCACTGGATCCGCCTCGGAGCTGCTGTGGCCCCTGCCACCCTCCCGGCCCACCTGGATACCCCGCTATCCTGCCACCGCACATCGTCCAGTCGTCATCGTCCGTATTCGTCCTGGCCTCAAGCTGGACATTGGCCACCTCCACCATCCGTACCACCTCAACTGTGCACGCACGCAGGCACACGCCCGGCACAGGACTTGGAGCTGCGCACGCCTCCACCCGTCCCCGCCTCACTCGGCACGCCTCGCCTCAGTGCAACGCGCCTGCTGGTACCCAGCAAAGCCTGCAACATGCAGCCGCCTCTGACATGATAATACTCCTCTGTCAAGCATACGTTCCTCCTTTGCTTTCTTTCCGCCTCTGACACGATAATACTCCTCTGTCATGCGTACGTTTCCTCTTTTCTTTCTTTCTGCCTCTGTCATGCATCTCTCTGTCCGCTTCCTGCTTTTCTGATTTTTGTTTCGGCCTTTGTGCCACTTTGTTAACAAATTTCATACACACAGCGCTCTCGCTTGTACATATTGTATCATATTTTTCTCTTTCGTTCTCTGCGCTCCGCTTGTTCTCTGGTGGGGGAGTACTGTAGCGACCTCGCTGCATGACGTCAGCTCCCTCACCAGATATATACGCATGCGCATGAAACATTTCTTCCTCTTTGTTCTAAATACCCCGACAACTACTCGTCATGGAAATGACTAGTAGTAGTAAGAGTGACGGCCTGGTGCTACTGTTTCATCAACCGGTGTCGTCGACGTCATGCTAACACGAGAGGGGATCCGGAAGCAGCAAGTACAGCAGTCGACTCTGTGGAGCTGAAGTCTGATGAGCTCCAGAGTGCCAAATGTCACTGGTATGCGATCGCACAAGCAGAGAGCTATCCCGCTTCGTATCGGCAGCTGACGTCAGGGAAGTCCCTTGCAGCAAATGACCAACTGCTACGGCTGAATCCAGTGCTCGACAAGGACTACCCGTGTGTGCTACGCATTGGAGGTCGTCTGAAGACTGCCAGCCACTTGCCTGAGCATACCCGGCATCCGATAATCTTGCCCCAGCACCATCGGATTACTCAGCTGATAGTCGACGCCGAAGATCGCAAGTGTGATCACAGTGTTGGCCCAAACCACCTCTTGGCAAACCTGATTTGCTGCGGTTTTGGATCATCCGTGGCAAGGTTGTCACACGATTTCACCGTGCACACTGCGTGCTCTGCAAGAAGAAGTGGGCCACTGTGGCTTCGCAGCAGATAGCACCGCTCCCGCTATTCCGAACAGCTCCACCGTACCGGGCATTTTCAAGAGTGGGAGTTGACTATGCTGGTCCGTTCCGGACAAAACAAGGACGTGGCAAGACCCAGCTCAAGAGGTACCTCTGTGTCTTCTCTTGTTTGCAATCTCGAGCCTGTCATTTCGAGATGGCGTATGGCCTGGACGCCGAGTCGTTTCTGCTAGCATTCACTCGTTTCTGCTAGCATTCACCCGTTTCTGCAAGCGCAGAGGCGTGCCAGCTGAGGTCGTGTCAGACAACGGGACGAACTTTGTCGGTGCAGAGCGCGAGCTAAGAGAAGCGGTTCAAGCGCTAGGTTCTAATGAAGCGGCCGCAAGTATGGCCAGCCAAGGAGTTCACTGGCACTTCAATCCACCTCTCGCTCCGCACTTTCGCGGCGTATTTGAGTGTGTGGTCAAGGCAGCAAAGCGCGCAATGATGGCAACTCTGTCCCACGCCAATCTCACTGATGAGGAACTTGTAGCTGCCATGGTGAGTGCGGAAGGCCTACTCAACTCGCGTCCGTTGACCGCTGTCTGGACTAACGTGGATGACGCCGCACCGCTAACACCGATGCACTTCCTAGCTGGACAGTGCGAGCTGACTCTGCCACTCGAAGAAGTCGCTGAGTTGCACCCACAGCGTCGTTGGCGGCTCCTCCAACAGCTCCTACGCGAGGTATGGCGGCGATGGCTTCGAGAAATAGTGCCTTGGCTGAATGTGCTTCAGCGATGGTCTCGACGCAGCCGCAACATCAAGCCCGGTGACATTGTCCTCTGCATGGACAGGTCTACTCCAAGTGGGCGTTGGCCGCTAGCCAAGGTGATGGAAGTGTTCCCCGGATCTGATGGATTGGTCCGTGTGGCGAACATCAGAATTGCCGCCAAGCCCACTTATGTACCCTTGCTCATAGAATTTATCTCAAACGAATTCCCCAACACTTGGAAAAGTATGACTGGTTCCAGCGAGATAGACCAACTCAAAATCAAGTATCATTGCCTGCTCCTCCTTTATCGTTGTTTCTACTGTGACTCACCTGTGTTTATCATGGCATATCGATTTTGGCTCTCCCTTTCCTATAGTATTCGACGTGCTGAGACACTTTCCGCTTTCAACAAGGCTCTTCGTAAGTAACGCACCTCTTTCATTTCATTTTTATTTGATTTGTTTTATTTATTTATTTGTAAGAAAGGGTTTGCTCCCCACACTGGAGCTCGCGCTATTCCGCCGACTTTACTTGACACTTGACTGACTCACGACTGCCATCCAGAGCACATATTTATTTGTTTATTTTATTTATTTGCCTTTTTGCCCTCAGTCCATGGTTAGTTTCACCCTCACTTCCTTGTATTGGCTATTTTCACTATGTGCCATGAAGTGCAGACAGTAAATACCGTATTTCCTCGATTTTAAATAGACCCGGTCTTTTGTTTTTTGAAGAGGGTTGGACCCCTGGTCTCTTATTTGGGCATGGTCCATTATTTGAGCAGGGTCCACTATATTTTCATCGGCACATCGCTGGAAATGGTGGATTTTTAACACGTCATAATAAAAAAGTTCTATATTATGACGTGTTAAAAAATATAGTGGACCGTGCTCAAATAATGAAAGAAAGCACTAGCCACTACAAAAATTGTAGTTGCGCAACCTAAAATTGCGTCCTTTTTTGATCCACCACGTGCTTTCTTAGTGCGCATGCGCAAAGCGATGAACTCAAATAAGAGACCGGGTCTCTTATTCGGGCATGGTCTACTATTTTTCCGTGAGGCCTCTAGGAGGGTCTACTATTTGAGCATGGTCCATTAATCGAGGAAATACGGTAAATAAACATCAACCATAGACAAAGTTGCCCTCTCCCTCGGAGTTGTATTTATTAGGCCCCAGGGTGGGATGTCCCGGGATTCATCTGTCTCCCCTGTGAACAGATACGACCTCTGCCATCTTAGGTGCCTAAATTCTCAATTCATTGTTCTCCAAAGAATTAAAAAAAACTGTGTTAACACGATCAGAAAAAAAGATAGTTCAACCGCAGTGAACAGGATTCGAACCTGTGCGGGCAGAGCCCAATTGATTTCTAGTCAATCGCCTTAACCACTCGGCCACCACTGCTCAGATATCCCTGTTAAGCAACTAGCTCAGCCATAAACGAGAGGAGACTTGCATGACTATGTTCACAAGAGAGTTTTCAAGCCAGGTTGAGTCCGACTCAGCTTGAGCCCGACCCAGGTTTGAGCTCGGCCCAGGTTTGAGCTCGGCCCAGCTTGCGCCCTAACCAGGTTGAGCCCGACTCAGTTTGAGCCCGACCCAGGTTTGAGCGCGACCCAGATAGAGCCCGACCCAGATTGAGCCCGAACCAGGTTGAGCGCGACCCAGGTTGAGCTCGACCCAGGTTGAGTTTCAACTTGCTATACCAAGAGTACATAACCCCCAAGAGTGTGGAACTGACGCATGGAGTGCTGTCCTGGTAGATTTTCAAGTTGATGTCATTTGTGATGATGCAGTGCTCCTCGCACGAGTGATTTCTGACGTTTGTACACACTGCATGCCGACGCATCACAGGAGTTACCTTACACAAGTCATGATCAAAAAATGAGGATCTTTCCACCACTAGTCAACGATACGTCTGATAAGTTGCGAAGGAAATTGGTTGCTCCCGCTCCCCACACTGGAGCTCGCGCTATTCTGCCGACTTGACTTGACACTTGACTCACTCCCGCTCCCTACACTGGAGCTCGCGCTATTCTGCCGACTTGACTTGACACTTGACTCACTCACGACTGCCATCCAGAGCACATGAGACGTCCATCGAACCTTCCACTCGGCAAACCTGCCAGAAAGCATCACTCCCTGCTTTATGCTTGGCGGGAAAGGTGCGAGCTCTAGTGTGGGGAGCAACCAACTTCATTGTAAACAATATCGCCGAGGTCGCTACCGAGATTTCGTGCTAATAAGTAGGGGTGAAAGGGGTGATCCGGGTAACCCCGGTACCCGTCTGTTTAGCTGCTGATCCGTTAGCAAACGAGTACCCGTTAGTCGTGTAGGATTGTAGGGTACAGTATTAGAAGCTTGCTTGTACAGCTGTACAGTTCAGTGCACAGTTTTGAGTGTGTTTTTCCTCGTTCAATCCTGCTACTTATCACGGTATCCATTGTAGCTACGACAATTTCGACTGTTAGCATGTAGCGCAGTGATTGTGCACACTGTGCTTGTCGCGGTGTAGTGTACTTGTAATTGTATGACTTCGCATATCCTCCTGGCGTGAAATCCGGAAGGCTACTGTAGCAATTGTTGCCCGAAAATCTCTCTCCTATCAGAATGCCTGCAAAAGACATGTTGCGCTTACGATCCCAAGCAAATGCAACGTTCTTGGAAAAAGTATGGCGGATAAAGAGTACCCGATAACCCGCCCGTTAAGCCAGATACCCGTTTGTTACCTTAAAGGGTAACCGTTTCACCCCTACTAATAAGTTGTGCATCATAAAAAAATGCCATCAACTTGAAATTCTGCCGGAGCAGCACTGAGAGAGGGAGTTGCACACTCTTGGTGGGGGTTATGTGCCGGTACTCTGAAAACTACCCTTCTTCATGATCAGATGCTCTAATTTCAGGAATTTTCGGTGCTCAATATTTTCGGTTTGAGGGCAACAGGTCAGGTTAGGTCAATAGGTGAACAGAAATTTTAGGTACAGAGAAGCAGTTCCCTATTGGATTAGGTGTGCTAGAGTTTGTTCGGTGTATTGAAATTTTAGGTAAGAAACAGACGCACCGAAAGTACCGAAAATAAAAGTACACCGAAAATTTGTGAAATTTATTAGTATTATTTAGTAGTTTCTTCCAAGCCAAAAAAAAAGATCATCAACCGCAGTGAACAGGATTCGAACCTGTGCGGGCAGAGCCCAATTGATTTCTAGTCTATCGCCTTAACCACTCGGCCACCACTGCTTGGACACTTTCACAAGGACAAGAACCCGAGACGAATGCGCCCACGGCCATCATCACCAACCCAAAAAGGAGAGACAGGGCAAGGTAAGGGGTCGTTGCAAACTTTTTTTTTGTCGTCCCTGAAACGAATAGAACATCATTCATTGGGGGGAGGGGGGGGGGGGGGTGCAAGCCAAAATCGCAAGTCGTGCGATTTTCGTCGTCCAGCATAGTAAGCTGTGTTCATTTCAGAGGGAGGGGGAGCGAGTACGAAATGAATGATGTTCGTTTCGAATTTCAGGGACGACACATTTTTTGCGACGACCCACAAATAGAGAGCCAGGGAAAGGACCGGCAGAATCAGTTTTTGATTGGTCCAGTCATACCATAGTCCTTCATACCCTAAGTCATGATGGGGGGAGAGAGGAGGGGGCACATGACCTCCTCGGCAGTAAACATGGGTTAACTGGTGGTCCAACAGTCAACAGTCAACGGTCATGGCCTGACCAACCAGACCGATATTCCACCGCCCCTGAGTGAGAACAATGACTTACTCTGTCAATACGGCGGTCAGAGCTTCTCTCTCGGGAATGCACGGTATCACCGGACTGTAACAACACACACAGCAAACACACAACAAAAGCGCTGGTCAGCAATTGTTCGGGAGATTTCTACATGAAAAATACCGTTTTGAAGTAAGAGCAGCCTAGGCTACCACCCCGAACCCGCAGTCCTCCAGCGCCAGACACTACGGTACTAGTAACTCTAAGAGAGATACGTCAACAAAATATTCAGCGCGTATTCATTTTCGGCTATTTCGGCCCGGCCATGTTTGGCCGAAAATTAGTTGCGGCCGAAATTTTCATTTCGCAAAGTTCAGTGTGGCAGTGACCCAGTCAGCAGCAGTACAGGCCGAAAATTTGAATGGGCCGAAAATTTGTCGACTTCAAGAACTACAAGCAAGCACTGGAAGAGACATACGATGACATATACGTGGAGGCCATGAGTATACTGTAAGACATGTTATTATAACGAGTCGCAAATTTAACGATTGTCCAAAATTCGTAGGTTAACGAGAAGATAATTATGTTAACGATCTTGCAGTATTCTGCCATATCCACACACAACATATATGAAGCAGTACGGCCTCAACAGATCTTATCATAACGAACAAATATCATCCGTTAAAACGTTAGATTTACTTCCTCGTTATATATACATGTCTTACAGTAGCCGACGCGCGAGGATTGGACAAGAGAATGTATTATGTGGCAAAGAAGGGACATGTACGTGACATTAAAAGACCACGAGGACAACTTTAACAACCTCCCCATGCCGCCTCATCAATCCGGCGAAGAGCGAGGTTGGACAGATATCTAAGGCGATACTGGAAAGGATAGTCCAGGATGTCCGGTGCCAGCTACCAACAAATGCCTGGAAGAGCACATCCGCCGTGATCGACTGGTTTGAGGGGCTGGAGGAAAAGCAAAACTGCGTTCTTGTAGGTTTTGATGTCGTGGAGTTTTACCTGTCGATCTCAGAGGAGCTGTTATTGACGTCGTTGCAGTTTGCCAGAGGCTTCACGTCGGTGTCCTCGGAGGACCAGGAAACAATCATCCACGCAAGGAAATCTCTGCTATTCGGCCTCGGGAAAGAATGGAAGAAGGGAAGCGGAGTATTTGATGTGACAATGGGATGCTATGACGGTGCTGAAGTCTGTGAGTTGGTCGGTACGCTGGCCCTTGCCAAACCATCTGAGGTGTACAATGGCAGTGACATTGGACTCTACCGTGACGATGGGTTGGCAGTGTTCAGGAATGTCTCGGGACCGGAGGTAGACAGGATCAGGAAGGACATAACCAAAATCTTCAACAGCCAAGGACTAAAAATCACCACCCAGGCAAACCTGAAATCAGTCGACTTCCTAGACACTACACTGGACCTACACACCGACAAATATCGTCCATACCGGAAGCCCAACGACCGGCCACTATACGTCCATCGCCAATCCAACCACCCACCAATCATCATCCAGAACTCGCCCTCTTCCATCAGCCGACGACTAACGGACATATCAACGGATCAAGAGACATTGCAGGATGCATCTCAACTGTACAACAGTGCGGTCAGAGACAGCGGGTACAATGAGACCGTCCAGTTCTTGGAGGAATGGAAGAGTGGGAAAAAGAAGAAACAAAGGAGTCGACACCGGAATATTACCTGGTTTAACCCACCGTTCAGTAAGAATGTGTCTACGGACATTGGTCAGCGATTCCTGCAACTCGTCAGCAAGCACTTCCACAAAGGATGCAAACTCTACAAAATATTTAACCGGAACATGCTAAAGTTCAGTTACAGTCGCATGCCAAATGTTGCCACCATCATCGAACAACACAACAATAGTATCCTCCGCAGCAACTAACAGAATAAGACCAAGGATGTGAGAACCTGTAACTGCCGTGTCAAAAATGATTGCCCCTTGGAAGGAAACTGTCTACAGTCCATTCATAAAAAAATGGGTCCTGGCTCTGGCGAGCTCCCGTATTTGGCGATTTTTCGTGATTTCATCGTACACAGTGCAGTGCTGCGAACTTTGAAATTTGAAAAAGGGTCCAAAAAGGGTGCCTGAACTGGGATTCGAACCGCAGAATGCACTCTTGCAGGCGGGGTCAAACGGCCTGGATTTTGATGGTTTTTCCCAATTCAGTGCTTTTGGGGCAAAACCTGGCCGAAATCCTATTCTTGCTATGGCTTGCTTTTTGGACAAAAAAACTTCAGAAACATAATTGGAAGAGGATTCCACATGGGATTGCAGAAAAAAATTCTAAAAAAACTCAACGTTTGACCCATTTATGGCCAAAAGCTAGAAGTTCATTTTTTTCTGAATGGACTGTAACATCGAGCATTGTGCACAGGGCACATGTGACCGGGAGCAACATCAAGGAGTACACTTGATTAACGGAAGGGGCATTCAAGACATGATTCGATGGGTGTGTGTGTGCACGTGTGGGCGCGTGTGCGTGTGTGTGCGTGTGCGTGTGTGTGTGTGTGTGTCTGACTGTCTGTGTGTGTGTATGTGTGAGATTTAGAGAATGAATGTGTGTGTATGTATGTGTGTGAGAGAGAGATTTAGAGTGTGTGTGTGTGTGTGTGTGTGTGTGTGTGTGTGTGTGTGTGTGTGTGTGTGTGTGTGTGTGTGTGTGTGTGTGTGTGTGTGTGTGTGTGTGTGTGTGTGTGTGTGTGTGTGTGTGTGTGTGTGTGTGTGTGTGTGTGTGTGTGTGTGTGTGTGTGTGTGTGTGTGTGTGTGTGTGTGTGTGTGTGTGTGTGTGTGTGTGTGTGTGTGTGTGTGTGTGTGTGTGTGTGTGTGTGTGTGTGTGTGTGTGTGTGTGTGTGTGTGTGTGTGTGTGTGTGTGTGTGTGTGTGTGTGTGTGTGTGTGTGTGTGTGTGTGTGTGTGTGTGTGTGTGTGTGTGTGTGTGTGTGTGTGTGTGTGTGTGTGTGTGTGTGTGTGTGTGTGTGTGTGTGTGTGTGTGTGTGTGTGTGTGTGTGTGTGTGTGTGTGTGTGTGTGTGTGTGTGTGTGTGTGTGTGTGTGTGTGTGTGTGTGTGTGTGTGTGTGTGTGTGTGTGTGTGTGTGTGTGTGTGTGTGTGAGATATCTAGAATGTGTGTGTGTGTGTGCGTGTGTGTGGGTGTATGTGCATGTGAGAAAAGGGAAAGAGTGTGGGTGTATGTTTCTGTAATGGTGTGAACATGTATGGATTCGGCATTTAAGCCCCCAGCTCTATAGCCTTGATCCTTGAAGGGTGGTGGCGTTCCTACGGATGCGGAAAACTCGGCTTCCACCCGAGTCTCACGCGAACCGTGAAATTGTTTCTTTCTTTTTTTTCTATTCTATAATTATCATTCATGCCGGAACTGCTGCTGCATAGCCTCAAGTCTAAAGACTTAGCCACTCCACGCCTGCACCTGACTAGTGCGCTAGAATTCCCCTCAGAATTTCCCACCTTGCTCCCCCTTATGTTCAGGCTGCCCGTTTCGGAGCCATCAGTTGCCTGATCAGCGTAGTAATACGTGAAACTCAGAGTTGCGACACAGCTTCCAATCTCTCTCGTGTTCTAGACATACAGTAAAATTCCTGTATTTTTTTAGCCGAGCTACCATACAGTACAGTAACCATGGCAACGGACTACATGTACCGTAAAGTACCGCCAGAGCGCCACGTCTCGCGAGAGCGCCCCACCTTGATTTTACGGCCAAGGGAAAGGAAAATTTGTATGGCAGAGTGCAACGAAGTTTGTACGGCGTGAGAACCTTAGTATGCTAAGGTCATTTTTCGTGTGGAGCTCGTGTCTGCTTGAAGGTAAATTGAGTACGGATCGACTGCAGAATGTGTACAAAGTTCGTGTCGTATGACCTACAGGCAGGACACCATCTCCACAATACGACCAGGAAAGGACGAGATGGTGGGGCGCTCTGGCGGTACTTTACGGTACTACTACTATATGCATTGGCCGACATACCATGGTCTGGGGTCAGCAAAATTTGCAACGCGTATCAAGGAAATGTGGGAAATTAATGGGCATCCTTTTTCTGCAGATTGCGACATTCCTTTTTAGTGATGGAGCGAACTGTGATTTCCACCCACGAACAATTCTCTTGAACAACAATTCAACAGACCAACGAATAATCCACATACTTGTATACTCGAAATGGGAACGGTACAGGGCTGAAGAAAATGTTGAACGGTCTCTGCTGGGATGACGACTACACCATAGCTCAGTGGCTAGAGCATCGCTGGCCAGAAGCGAGAACCTCTGGTTCGTGTCCTGTTGGTGACAGTCAATTTTTTCTTCAGACTTTTCCCGTTTGCATCTTTCCCTCAAGCCAATGAGTACAAGGCTGCATTTGCATTTCGAGTGTATAAGCACATTTCAAAAGCCTTTTGTTTCTGCATTCTTGGGCTCACTCTTGGGCTCGCTCTTGGGTTTATTCTTGGGTTCATTCTTGGGCTCACTCTCGGGCTCAATCTTGGGTTCATTTTCATTCTTGGGCTCAGCTGCATGCACGGCGTGGTGAATGGGGGGGGGGGGGGGGGGGGGGGGAGAGGGGGGAGAGGGGAGGGGGTACTAAGAACGTTACATGCATATGTAGTCTAGTGGCGAAACGAATGTCAAAACCTAGTAACCGAAATTCTTTGGCCTATCGAACGAACGTACGAATATTCCTTAATTTCTTTTGGTAACAGAGATGCCATCACATGCCCTCCTCTCAGTCATTTGATGGATATTGTCATTATTATTAGGTATGACAAACGGTAGTGCCACATTAAATTCACTGCCACATAAGGCTACTTCGGAGTTCATACATGTCACGTGCAACATTGGCAGTCCAGTATGCACATGCATGAGAAAACATGGAGTACAAAGTCACAGGCAGGCTGTACGCACTGCACTGTACTGTGTTCGGCGTGCTTGTATATACATGCACTGCATTCGAAGTGACGTAACGAATACTCGAATGTGACTTAAAGAATATTCGAATATGACAAACCGAACGAATGTTCGAATATTCGAATATTCGTTTCACCACTTATATGTACTGACCTGTCGGAGTGTAAGAGTTTAGCAATGACACCGCCAGCCACCGATCGCGTCCGGTCAATCTTCTCACTGATCTGCTGCAACAGCGATGTCATCAATGCCAGCATCCTGCATGGACATACAGACAGACACGAGTGCACACACATGCACACACACACACACATACATGTTATACGCGCCCCGTACACACTCCCATACGCACACACTCCCCTACACATATTCATGCACTCCCCGCTGGCCTTTGCCCTGCTAACCCCTTTTTTCCCGCTCACCATGTCTCACTTACTGCATGCACCCCTTTTTCCCTCCGTAGTTTTAGATACTCTGAAGGCTGCGCTTGCGCAGGGTCGTTCTTGTTCTACTCTCCCAGTCGCCTTTGTTCTAGTCTGGCAGTTCTTGTCTTGATCGATCTCTTTGTGCTATTCTCCTAGTCTGGACCTCTTGTTCTCCCAGGCTAGTCCTTTGTGATATTCCAGTCTCTTTCCTCGAGATAATATAACCATTCTAAAAGCCCTATGAGTGTACTGAGAATACATGTAACAAGAGTAGTTGTAGGTAGTAGTCCTTATTTGACTACATTGGTGCCCGACGTGGGGCTCGAACCCACAACCCTGAGATTTCTACCGACTGAGAGAAGAAGAACAACGCATGGAAGGAAATTGCAGCTCACTTCGGAGTAAGCGCCGAAGGGGCCAAGAAGCGGTGTGGCAACATCCGAACACGGTTTTCAAGATACCTCAAGTCAATGACGACCAAGTTGGGCCAGGGGAGGGATGCCGTACCACCCTTGTCGTCCGACCTGGAGCAACTTAGATGGCTGCAAACATTTATCCGGCACCGCGAGACATCGACAAACTTTTGTGGCACAATGTCGGATGAGGGAAGTGCCTTGGAAGCGGACGAAGACACTCCCGTTGATATTGAGAAGGACGATGACGATTGTGCGATACTCGATGTGACTTGCAAGGACGCGCCAACTCCGAAAAGGATTAAGACTGAACGGCCGTGGGGAATCCAATCAGGAAACCCCCACGGGCAAACATCCAGAAGGCGATTGACAACATCGCCGAAGCGATCAAGACGGAGGAGAGGGAGGAAGATCCAGACAGGCTCTTCTGCCTGAGCCTTGTGTCTCACTTCAAGGATCTTCCTCCTCTCCGACGGAGTCTACTCCAAGCCAGAATACTTAATGCCGTGGTGGAAGTGGAGTCGGTGCATCACCTCCAGCAGCTTCAGCCAGCATACCCATTGTGCAAGCCGCCAGTAATCCAGCCCCAACCAGTTATACCACAGCAGCAACAGCCACCGCCACCACAGCAGCCGCTACAGCAGTGGCAGCAACAATGGCAGGCTCCGGCGTATCAGCAGTACAGTCCCCAATTTTCCTCACCTCAACCCCAGCCACCAACAACTTCCATTAACACCGATGACATCTCTAGCGCAACGGACGGATAGACAGTGTGATACGCGCCTACGTCGCCAGACTGAAGGCGTCACTCGGATCAACAATCCAAATGCGTACGTTGTCCCTGCCACCAGGTGAGTCTCTGGTGGCTGTCGGCCGCTCGTTTCCGCGGTTAGATTGTGGAACGCCCTGCCCCAAGAGTTCAAGTCCCTCGCCTGCCACAGATCATTCAAGAGACTTTTAAAGGTTTAATTAAGTATTTTTATGGCTAGCCAGCATCTAGGCTTGGACTTGGAGTCGTGACTCAACTGTGCTTTCTTCTTCTTCTTCTTTTTTTCTCTTTTTTTCCCTTTCTTTTTTCTTTTTGAGTATTTGCAGTCTGTGTTGTCTGTGTTTTTCTCTCTTTCGTGGAGGCTTGCTTGTTGTATCCTTGGCTCTCGGCCGTTACTTTATCGCCATCATAATATTGGGCACCATTGCCCGTTTAGTCTGCGATACAAAATAAATTTCAATCAAATACAGAGTGTGTGAGCACAAGAGAGAGAGAGAGCACGTGTGTTTGTTTTAACGTAGCGGAGCGAATGTATGCGTTGCGTGTGAGTTGTACATGAGTGTGTGAGTTGTGTATGTGCGGTTTCGTGCATGCGTTACACGTATACACCCATTCCGCATTAATTTTATTACTTATATTTTTCTTCTCGTGGGGACACGAGTTTTTCTCACCCGGAGAGGGGGGTGATGTTGTACGCGCCCCGTACACACTCCCATACGCACACACTCCCCTACACATATTCATGCACTCCCCGCTGGCCTTTGTCCTGCTGACCCCTTTTTTCCCGCTCACCATGTCTCACTTACTGCATGCACCCCTTTTTCCCTCCGTAGTTTTAGATACTCTGAAGGCTGCGCTTGCGCAGGGTCGTTCTTGTTCTACTCTCCCAGTCGCCTTTGTTCTAGTCTGGCAGTTCTTGTCTTGATCGATCTCTTTGTGCTATTCTCCTAGTCTGGACCACTTGTTCTCCCAGGCTAGACCTTTGTGATATTCCAGTCTCTTTCCTCGAGATAATATAACCATTCTAAAAGCCCTACCAGTGTACTGAGAATACATGTAACAAGAGTAGTTGTAGTTAGGCTGTGTTTACATGAGGCGTTTCAACCCGGGTTGAGTTCTACCCGGGTCAGATTTCAACCCGCCATGTGCATAAAATGAATGGCGCGTTTACATGACGCATTGCGCTTGACCCGGGTTGAAATTTCGCCCTGGGTTGATTTCAACCCTCCCCCCCCCCCCTCCAAGGGGAGGGTTGAAACCAACCCGGGTCAAGAAAATCGTACAAATGTACTTCTGTGCGTATCTCGCGCCAGGTTTGAACAGCACTGCAGATGCAAATTTCGCGCGAACGGATTCATGTGACCGTGCAGGACTGTAGAAGTGGACTTTTGGCGGCATATCAGTATTTGACCCGGGTCAACTGTCTTCATGTAAACGCTCGCCTCTTTTGTCAATCGTACAGACTTTCAACCCGGGCTGAACTCGACCCGGGTTGAAATTTCTCATGTAAACACAGCCTTAGTAGTCCTTATTTTGACTACATACACACCACGCCCATGCACGTACACACTCACACACCCACACACATTCACACACATTCAAGCCGTCTGAAAAAAAAACGAAAAAAGAAAGAAATTCAGTCGCAGTGAACAGGATTCGAACCTGTGCGGGCAGAGCCCAATTGATTTCTAGTCAATCGCCTTAACCACTCGGCCACCACTGCTTGGATGCTTTAGAACAAGCACCTCAACGAAATATGTGATGAGTGTATGCCAAACCGGTGAAAATGGGAAAAAGGACAAAAAGAGAAATTCGATCGCAGTGAACAGGATTCGAACCTGTGCGGGCAGAGCCCAATTGATTTCTAGTCAATCGCCTTAACCACTCGGCCACCACTGCTTGAATACGTACAGGAACACATGCATATGTACTTCGAAGTAGTAATAAGCACCCCCGGCCAACGTACTGTATTTTCACAAATTTCTGGTGTACTTTTATTTTCGGTTCTTTCGCTACATCTGTTTCATACCTTTAGAAAATGTCAATAAACGAACAAACACTAACACACATACCGTATTATCTCTAATATAAGCACGGTCCTTTATTTTTCAATGTACCTCCGCCCCGTGCTATTAATGGAGACGTTCCTTTATTGGAGACTGTTCCATTATTATTTCAACCTCATTTCAGAGGCATGTTGCCATGCCAAATTCATGTATGACACACACATTTCAGGTTTTTTTTTCGTCGGTACAGATAAAGAATTTACACAGTGTGCTTATAATGGAGACTGAGCACTTTATTTTTTGAATGCCGCCCCAAGGTGTTCTATTATTGGAGACGTGCTATTATTGGAGACTGTGCTTATATTAGAGATAATACGGTAATCCAATAGGGAGCTGCATCTCTGTTCACCGAACCTTGCTTGGCCTTTTCGGACTTTTGCCATCATACCTAAAATTCCGAGCACCTAAAATTTAGAAAACTTCACTTCTCAACTCCAAACTCCAAAACGGTCTCTTCATTGCGATTCAAATTCAAATCAAGATTTACATTACACCAAATTTTCAGGCCTGTGGCTTCAGACCTACAAGCCATTTGACTGCATTCTTTCAACTTCATGTACACCGATACTTTTTCATGCACGCACGATCGAGGATCATTGTCCGCAAGGTACTTCAGCCCGATCATACTTCACTTTAGGTATGGGAGGCGTGGCGCGTCATGAAAAAGTTGACTTGAGCTCAAATTTGTTTGGCCTATCGCGAGACCGCAATGTGCTTCTCCCACGCGAAATGAAGTACGAATCAAAATGGAAAAGAATGTTGCAAAAAAACAAAGTCCAACCGCAGTGAACAGGATTCGAACCTGTGCGGGCAGAGCCCAATTGATTTCTAGTCAATCGCCTTAACCACTCGGCCACCACTGCTCAGGTGGTTCTGAGTGACAGCCATCTCCATCAAATAGACCTTTTGCGCGTTGTACAAATGTCCGAAGTCCAGTACTAGGGCGTAGGTGTGTACAGACCCGGCTGGGTGTTCATTGTGTGCTATGCATGCGCATTTGACCAATTTTAGCCTCATAACTAATGGCAAACAATCCCTTTTCCAGCTTCTTCACTTTGGTTAGAACTAATGACTAGCTAGATCTTTGTCAGAAAAGGTTTTCGTTCGAAATGCCTTCAGGGCCCATTTCTTAGTGGAGATAGAAGAAAACACAATAGGGTCCTGCACATTCAGCACCCATTAGGTTCTACGGGATTTCGTGCATCTGTACAACGCGCAAAAGGCTTATACGGGCGAAGGGTCCGAAAATACCAAAGGAGAAAATCTAAGGGGAAAAATGAATCTTAGGGCTGAAACAATTATACCGATAACTCGCATATCGATCGTTAAGAGTGCAATCGATAATCGTTACGTAGATTCGTTAGTGTTCAAAACGAGTGCTAACGATTTTTATGCATTCATACGAGTGACAGTATTCTAGCGCTTGCACTCCACCCGATAGTGAATACGAGCACAATAATGTACTTTCTAGCGCAGTAAAATGATGTGTGCCTTTGAAAGAGATTGGGAGAAAAGACTGTCTTTTTGCTTCATTTGTGGGAGAGGTCGGAGAAGAGCCAGAGGGTGATGACAAGATTCTTTGCTCGAGAAACAACATGAAATTCTCTAGTTCATGTTGATAAAACCAGCCAGATATCTACACATGTCAACAGTGCGGTGCCACAAATTTCTAACGTAGCAAATATAACATGGAATTTCTTCATAAACTGGTATTCGAGGTACATGGGTAGGGCCAACAAGGATCGATAAAACCAATATATCGATCGTTAATGATATCGGTTGATCGTTAGGAGTTCTTGAATGATCGTTTCAGCCCTAGAAAAATCTATATAATATTATTTCGAAAAATTAAAAAATCCGTCCTGATGCAAAAAGGTGTGGGCGGTCAAGAGCATCCGCAGAATTTACTTTTTCAATTTTTCAATTTTCGTACACTTGTTGCACTGACTGTGTAGTGTAGTGTACTGTAGGGATCGATTGTCGCAAACACCAGTATGGTGTAGTTGTAGGACGTGTATGGACGTTGGTAGACCTACTGGTACTTGACACAGGTGCAGTCAGTGAACCTGGGGTGAGGAGTTCTTATTTTCGAGCTGGGCATTGGGAAAAATCAAAACATAAATGGGAAGGGGGGGGGGAGACACAATTCTGCACGAGGACAGATTTTTTAATGTTTCGATAATTACGGACGACCCCGCAGTCAAAAATGGGAAAAAGGACAAAAAGAGAAATTCAATCGCAGTGAACAGGATTCGAACCTGTGCGGGCAGAGCCCAATTGATTTCGAGTCAATCGCCTTAACCACTCGGCCACCACTGCTTGGTACACTCAATGGCAGCAGTCCACTTGCTTTGTCCAAACTGAGGTGTTTTTGGATAGTTTGCAGGCAACCTGCCTACTGTAGCTACACTAGCACTGCATTTCACACAAATCCAGTAGAAGTATCGTTTCAACGTGTTTTTTTTTCCCTCGAACTTATCTGTCCTCTTGCGTACTTCACAGCATAGTACTTTTCGGCTCAGTTTTCTTCTGTTCTTCCTTTGCTGAACATCAACACAAACTGTGTCACTGAGCGTCGTTTACACCAGCAGGGCGAGCGTATGCATTGAATGTGAAAATGGACGCGGTAGACAAATGTAGCAGCTGTGTGTGCGCGTGTGTGTGTGTGTGTGTGTGTGTGTGTGTGTGTGTGTGTGTGTGTGTGTGTGTGTGTGGACAACACAATGGTGAATGCATATTCGTGCAAATGACGCTATGTGTAACCACGAGCTGCTATTTGTGATGATTACTGTAAAACATGCAATTTTCGGTGTAACTTTAATTTCGGTGATTTCGGTAAAGAAACCAGCCATCTAAATTTAAATTACACCTAAAAGGCACTGTAGTATGCACTGCATGTGAAGGGAACACTGGTCACCTAATTCTACATTACACCTGAAACCTGGCAGGTCCCTGGCACCGAAATTGTAATGCACCTAAAATTACATGTTTTACAGTATTCTGGCGATCACTTTGTTTTTGCCCATAAAAGAGGCTAGTAGTAGTAACCGAGGAGGTAGTCACTCACGTCATAACAACAAGCCCTGGGTACATTTGAATCCGTTGAGTTCTTTGTCCATTGTTATTCTCACATTTTGCTAATTGTGATAGAAACTTTGTGTCGAGTAACTGAGGATTCATGTGCGCTACGATTACCGTAAAAATCCTGCCAGAGTGCCAAGTCACTACGAACCCTTCCATGATGCTCAGTGACTATGTGGTGTATACCAGGGGCATCGGAACCGGTGCCGCACGTTCGGTCAAAGCCGCACCCATAATTTCATCTTGTGACTTTCGAAGCAATGAGATATGGGCTATTTGGGCCCAATTTCCCTAAAACTTTCCCTGGGGGGGGGGGGGGGGACCCTCAACCCCCACCTACTCATGGGCCACACCCAATGTCGAATACCTTCCGACGTCCCTGTATGAAAAAGGTACTTACAGAGGCTCAGTGAGAGCAGCTGGGTGGGTCTCTGCCAGTGACATGGTCAGGTCCTGCAGACACAGCATGCTGGCCTCCCTCACGCTGAAAGGCAAAGAAACCCGCACAGGCGTGCGCACACGGACGCACACGCATGCACAGAAGAAAAAAGAACGCACATGCACACACGCACATTCCCACACACAAACATGTACACACACCCGCACACTCTCACACACACGCACGCACACATGCACGCACATAAGTAAGGATAAGTGACCAAGCAAGGCAGCATAAAATAAAACGTCAATCAAAACATTAACACAAAGATCTCTCACACGCCAAAACGACACCAGTGCACGGTAGTGCCCAATCCCGCAATGCAAAGTACTCAGCACGACAGTTCATGCTACGGATTACTCGAGTCAAGAGTGAACTGTGCTGTCCTGTGCTGTGTGTGCTGTCTTTCCAGCATGTCCTGTGCAGTAGTAGCGGCGAGACATTCTGCATGTAAGTCATATCAGGGTATCTCCATAGGCCACAGCTGACCTGCAAGCAACATACGACAGCTGCTGTCGGGCGCACAACATGTTCTGTTTTAACTCTCAGCGCAGCTAACCATGGTAGCAAGAGTACATAAGCCCTAAGAGTGTGCAACTGCCTGCACAGCCTCTATGCAGTACTCGACAGAACTTCACACATCATGTGACATGGTTCAAAAGGTTATGCTGGCAAACAGTGCAAAGTGACCACAAGAGAACTGTTGTACCCAAAGCTGGGTTACATACAACCCTGTATACCCTGTATCTATCATGCATGCACAGCGTGCAAATAATGTGTACGAGTTTGCCATGTGATGTGAAGTTCTGCCGTCGCAGACCCCATAGCTGGAGTTGCACACTCTTGGGGGTTATGTACGCTTGGGCGTACGGAAGAGCAAGAGAGAGAGAGAGAGAGAGAGAGAGAGAGAGAGAGAGAGAGAGAGAGAGAGAGAGAGAGAGAGAGAGAGAGAGAGAGAGAGAGAGAGAGAGAGAGAGAGAGAGAGAGAGAGAGAGAGAGAGAGAGAGAGAGAGAGAGAGAGAGAGAAGAACACATTTCTTTCAGCTCAGCAGCAGCATACTGAGCACCGATGTCGCCGCGGCTATCCGTGGTGTAGTCCTGCATCGACATCAGGCATGCGTCATACACCTGGCCAACTGTGGTGGACACGGGCAGGTGATATGTTGGATCCATGTCCTCGTGGAAACCAGCCGTGAGGCAGAACCTGATGCACAACCAGAAGAAGGCAAACAAAAACAAGAGTACCAAGTTGAGTAAATGGGCGGAGGAGGAGGAGGAGGAGAGAGAGAGAGAGATAGAGAGAGAAAGAGAGACGCAGCCAGACGGACAGCCAGACAGCCAGCCAGCCAGCCAGCCAGCCAGCCAGACAGACAGACAGAAAGAGAGAAAGAGAGAAGAGAGAGAGATGTAGACAGACAGACAAACAAACAGACAGTTATGCCAACAGATACATACGAAACAGAGGGGCACAACAGACAGGGATGGGGGGGGGGGGGGGGGGGGAGTCGACAACCAAAACACCTGGGAGTACAGTAACAACACATCCATCCATTGCCCATACTCGTTCACTCCTCTCCTACCTGCCTAACGCCTTGACTGCATCACGCCGCGCCTCCGCAAACTGACTCTCCACACCAGCTTCGATATGCGTAGCGGCCACCAAGCTGGATAGGATCTGCAAGCAGTGGGAGAAACAGAGAACAAGAGAACAGCGTCGTTACTGCCGAGTTAACAGTCAGAACTCAAAAGATGAAAAAAATCAAGAAAAAAAAACAAAAAATCCTTCGAGCCGGATTCGAACCAGCGACCTAAAGATGACTGCACATCCCAGTGATGCGCACACTACAGTCTTCCGCTCTACCAACTGAGCTATCGAAGGGGATGGAGACTTCCATTGCTGTACTGGTATAAAAGCATGGACGACCGCGACGGTCCATGTTGTAGTCTTTTGGACGCTGAGTCGACTGGTTTTGGTCCGATAAGGCTGCGATGCAGCGTTCGACCCTTATTCCTAATCGAACACGGGTGAGTTAGCGGTCACGTGCTCATGCGTACACCAGTCACCCTGTCACCGTGCCTGCAGGCTACAACTTTTACAGCGTTCCTGTCACTCGAGTTGAACCTTTGAACCTTTGAGTTGAACCTTGGTGTGAAAGTGGTAGCCTGCAGGCACGGTGACCAGGCGACTGGTGTACGCAGGAGCACGTGACCGCTTACTCACCCATGTTTGATTGGGAATAAGGGTCGAACGCTGCATCGCAGCCTTTTCAGACCAAAGCCAGTCGACTCAGCGTCCAAAAGACTATAACATATGGACCAATCGCGGTCGTCCGTACTTTTATAAGAACGAAACGGTGCTTTTAGTGACTTTTTGCATACAAATACCCATCTAGTAGGGCGCAGTCACCCAGTTTTAGTTGAAGTGTGCGAGTTCGATTGGGAATACTGTAAAGGAGGAAGGGAGCGTCTCAATTTCCTCGGACCAAAACCATTCGACCCAGCACCCCGAAGACTACAAGTGGTGAAAATTTGATTTTAGGGTACACTTCCCCTTTAATACAGGTGATTGCAATTACTAATAACGAGGCATGCGAATTTTTCAAGCAGATACAGTGGAAAATGAAGTTGAAGACCACTGCAGCTGTACTTATAGTTGATTATATGGCGGCAAATACACACCTGGCAATATGGCAATAAGTACACGCCTATCCACACACACACACACACACACACACACACACACACACACACACACACACACACACACACACACACACACACACACACACACACACACACACACACACACACACACACACACACACACACACACACACACACACACACACACACACACACACACACACACGCACACACACACACACACACTCTCTAAATTGCAAAGTTACTCTAGCACAGAGCTCTCCTTCTCACGAGAATCACCATCAGTGCGTGTGTGGCGCCGAGTTGAAGCATGATTAGTGGCACATAGCACATAGTATGATACATGTTACATACAGCGGAACCTCGCTTCTCGATCACCCGACCAATCCGACTCCACTTTAACTCGGCCTCGAAATTTCCTCCATTATTGGCGCGCACATACATACATCACGGTTAACTGCACAAGTCATACCACCTCGGAAATCAGACCACTTTGCCCGGTCCAGAAGCCGGTCGGAATTCCGAAGTTCCAATGCACACACGCACATGGTTTGCGGCACAGAAACCCGACAACACCACTTACTTGAGTGACCTTGGACTGCAGCATGATTGGTGGTAGCGCACCCAGTGCTAGGGAAAATCCCATGCTGCACAGAAAACACACACGCATGCATGCATGCACGCACCAGTGGAGAAACAAGGTACTAGTCAGGGGCGTCGGACACGGTACGGTCACTGCGGTATTGACCGTACCACTTTTTTTCCCAGGTACCCTGTGGATCAATAAAATACACTGATCTGGGATCTAAATTTCCAAAATATTCGGCTCAGCCACCACTCCCCCACGAGTGAAATGTACTTCAGATGGCTGACCGTACCACACTAAAATACCTTCCGACGCCCCTGCTAGTACATTTTAAGAGGTCGAATATTTTACACGATTGTGACGAAATCATTCAATAATTCCACTTCCCAACTGCCGGTACGGCTTCACTAGATTCGTACAGTAATCCCTAATAATAACATTCCGCCACAAGCAAAGGACAGCCAAGAAATAATGTTTACATCAGTTTGGGGTAAGCCAATTCGTCACATGGAGAGAAAAAGAAGAGAGAGAGAGAGAGAGAGAGAGAGAGAGAGAGAGAGTGTATGTGTGTGTGTGTGTGTGTGTGTGTGTGTGTGTGTGTGTGTGTGTGTGTGTGTGTGTGTGTGTGTGTGTGTGTGTGTGTGTGTGTGTGTGCACAACACCCGCCCCGGCATCACCGCCCACACCCCAGCGCATACCAATCACCAGCCATCTGTATTGCAACCAGCACTGCGCTACCTGTGATCGCTGTTTTAAATCTGCTCCTGGCTTTCGGCGACACAATTGCAATCGTGGACGGCGTCGTGACGGAGCGGCTTCCTAGTGGCAGTGCTGACTTCTCTTGAACTCTCTCTCTCTCTCTTCTACTCTCCCCTGTCTCGGGGGCGGCGTGGCCAAGCATTTGGCAGCTGTACACCAGGCCAGGTGTGTGTGTGTGTGTTTGTGTGTGTGTGTGTGTGTGTGTGTGTGTGTGTGTGTGTGTGTGTGTGTGTGTGTGTGTGTGTGTGTGTGTGCGTGTGTGTGCGCGTGTGCGTGCGTGTGAGAGAGAGTGAGAGTGAGAGAGCAGTATAAAACATACAGATCAACACTAGCTCTAACTAGAGTCTCTCCTGCTCACCGTGGAAAGACAAGTTTGCTTTTCAACTCGCGACAGTAGCCATCAACGATAGCACCTGAAACAAGAAATGCACACAGAGAGGAAAGCATAATATACCGGTATCACCATCCACTCCATGTGTGTATCTAGTACTATCTACTTATCAAAACCCCTGTCTACGTACTCTACGTAGACAACTTTCCGTAAGTGGAGCGCAAACTCGCGAATTCACGGGTTTTCCCCCGCCCACACGTAGTGCGGAACCTCTCTCATAATGCACACCTGTGCTAATTGTGTAAACCTGTGCTAATTGTGTAAACCTGTGCTAATTGTGTAAACCTGTGCTAATTGTGTAAACCTGTGCTAATTGTGTAAACCTGTGCTAATTGTGTAAACCTGTGCTAATTGTGTAAACCTGTGCTAATTGTGTAAACCTGTGCTAATTGTGTAAACCTGGCTGAAACGGCAGCGCTGTAGTTACCTCTGTGATCCGGTGTGACATCCGGCTGACTGTAGTAGTGTGCCGTGAATGGTGTTAGCGCAGCTAGTGCTGAATCCTACATGACAGCACAAGCAGCAACAGCACAGCAAGCAGCAGCAGCAGCAACATCATCACCAGCAATATCATCACCAGCAACACCATCACCAGCAATATCACCAGCAGCAGCACCACAGCAAGAGAACCACCACCACCACCAGCCGCCACCACACCAACCCACCAACCCACCAACCCACAAACACACCACCACCAGCGGCCACCACACCAACCCACCAACCCAGAAACACACCACCAGCAGCCGCCACCACACCAACCCACCAAACTCACCAACCCACAAACACACCACCACCAGCACCACTAGTACTGTAGCTGTACTGATGAGGACGTTATGACCGAAACAGTTTGCTGTCGTCTACAGCATTGGGTCTTATCAGAGGACGTACTACTGTAAACCCATTATTCTAACGAGGCGCATATATAACAATTTCCCAAAATTGACTGGTTTACGTGTACGAAAGGTAACGATTCTCACTCATTCTCAACGCTAAAATATCAATAGTATATGTATCAATTTCTGTATAACGATTTCTATTTTAACGACAGATTTCTCCTCGTTAACTCGTTACAAGTAGCACTTCGTTATAATTATGGCTTTTACAGTGAGTTAGTTCTACTGTAGTCAATTAGCGTAAGGTAAACAATACAAAAAAAGGTGGCGGCAATTTCTTACCGTCACACCGGCGTTAGTGTTGTCGACAAACGGAAGCGAGTCGTCAATTAGCCATTGCCAACTTTCTGCTCAAACAAAAAAAAGAGAGAAATACGAAGTACGGAGTTTTAAAAAACCTCGACCCTTACACAGATGTAAGTGCATGGTTAGGAAGTACATGGGTAACTGGTACTGTTCGTATAAGGGGTGAGTTCTGGCACAGACTCTTTCTGTCAGTGTACTCAACTGCCTCTAAATAGCAAATACGCTGCCTGTCGGAATGGGATCACACAGATGAACCCATACACACATCTAGCATGTCAAGAAGTGAGAGCACCTGTTACGACGAGAGCACACCGATGAATGTATATACATATCTAGCATTTTAGGACGTGAGACTGCCTGTCAGGATGAAAGCACATGGATGAATGCATACATAAATCTGGCATCTCCGGGAGCGAGACCACCTGTCAGAATGAAAGCACACAGGTGAATGCATACACATATCCAGCATACTACAGTTGCGCTCGGTAAATCCGACCCACAGTGCACACTAAGTATTTGGCGCACGGCCCTTGGCGCCCTGGAAGTGGTACGAATACGGCTGGACTTACACATATACAAGTAAAGTGATGTAATCGGAACTGGTGGTGCAGGGCGTCAGTTTTGCACTTTAGGTCGGATTTCAGTGAACGCAGCGGTAGTATCAACTTCACTGTACCAAGAAGTGAGAGCCACTCTTACCTAGCACAGTGCTGTCTCGAACGGGAAACTCAGCCTTGGAGAGGTTTTCTATGAAGCTAGATGCTGTGACAGATACGCACACACACAATCACACATAATCAGGGCGCTCCCCTAAGCTGAAGAATTTTCGAATTCCTCCAAACTTTTTAAAAAGAATCTTTTTTAAACTCTACCAAACTTACGAATTTTTCAACTCCCAAAACTTATGAATTTTCAACTCCCACAAAACAGGAATTTTCAGCCCTCCTCAAACTTGTAACGTACCAGCCATCCGGGTCTCAATGCTGTGCACACCCCTGCCAAGCACAGAGTACAAACAAAAGAGAGAGAGAGAGAGAAAGAGAGAGAGAGACAGAGAGAGAGAGAGAGAGAGAGAGAGAGGGAGAGAGAGAGAGAGAGAGAGAGAGAGAGAGAGAGAGAGAGAGAGAGAAAGAGAGAGAGAGAGCACAAACATAGCATTACACGTGCGTGGAAAAACCCTCTTGGTGCAACAGTGAATGTGACTCGTGTTTTCGCGTGGTGTTTTTCACCAAGCCTGTTCATGCACACACGCACACACATACACGCACGCACGCACGCGCGCGCACACACACACGCACACACACAAACACACACACACACACACGCACACACACACCTGTCTTTAGGGCTCAACAGACTCACACACCTACACACATATACTAGTACACATACATAGCATTCTAGATAGGAGCACCAAC